TTTCATTTATGCTTTTTAAACGTTTTCAGAGTAAATCCTTTTAGTTTTAAAAGGGATGCGGAATTTGTTCCCAAAAACAAAGATGATAAAATAGATATTTATCAAAACATTTCATAAAGAAATATGATTTCATTTCAAAACCAAAAGTCGGGATGTCATGTTCCGATAGAGATCATAAAGCATAAACGATAGCATTACAATTCATTCAACAAATATATACATATACAGACTTGTAAACAAAACAACTTGATGTTCGCCCATCTTAAGCTCTTGCGCCACTTCCTGTAAAATAAATCAACTGAGTGGGTCAGGCTTGGGAGCCTGGTGAGCATGTAGGGTTTTCAACCCACAATAAATAATTATATTTAATTCAACAATCAACAATAAACCCGATTACCCTTTCCCGTTATCCTCACCTTACGTTCCTAAAAATAACGTCTATTATAAGGAACCTATTTCAGGATTTTTCATCGGGACGGACATTACTGCAGAGGGGCTTCCTCAACAATAAGTGTCCTAAAGGCAACCATGTGGGGGATAGAGTACAACGGTGAACACGTCGTTCACAACACCTACAGGTTATGAGCCTGCTAGTGTTCCACAGGACAGTCTAGAATAGTCCGTGGTCGTCATCCATACTCTGCTGAATGACTAGAATAACATCAATAACACCGAGGCCTCTCATCTGTTTATTACACACCAATTACCTACCCATGTTCTACCCAACATATTAGTAGATAAAAATATACATTTTTATACATAGTTTAAAAACCTGTATAACATGCTTTAATCAATACATATTCCACATAACAGATGAGGCATACACACATAACACGTATTTCATAGAGAATATATCAGATCTATGAGATAGAAGAGAGTGAATATACATTCACACATATAACAACCAAATATATACACATAACATGTATTTTATATGAAATACTTCATAATATTGTGTTGGAATGAAAATAACTACACACTCACTTGATCAGAAGATGATCGGGCAGCACTACGGCTTGCAGAAGAGGTGTTTCTCCGTAGATCTGGAAGATCTTCACAAAAATCGGCTCCTCGCGGGCAGCGCTTCGGCTCGGGAATAACGCTCTTCGGGAATCTCGATAGCGTAGATCTTTCGTCGGGGCTCGGGTACGGAAACCGAGGTGTTGGGATGGTCTCTGGGGCTCTAGGGTGTGTAAAAGTGAGAGAGGATCTGAGAATTGTGTGCAAAAACCCGAAGCTCAACCTTATTATTTATAGGCTGGAGGATCCTCGTACGCGGGGCGTACTACCGGAGTACGCTGGGCGTACCCAGTACGCAGGGCGTACTTCGGTTACGCGGGGTGTAAAAATGCATCACGGCTTACGACTCAGTTCTAGCTAGCATAGAGCACTCGAGCCGATGGGACTTGACACTGGGTCTAGTACGCGGGGCGTACTCTTGGATTACGCGGGGCGTAATCCAGTCTTCCATCTTCTAAATTTCGTAACTTTCGCGTACGAGCTCCGTTTTTGACGTAGGTGAGATTATGATCTACAACTTTCATTTAGACTCTGTCGGCTAATTTTGATTTTATTTTTATTATTTATTTTTAGAAGGCCGGGACAGAAAAACTTCGTTATAAATTCATAACTTCTTCGTCTGACGTCCGTTCTCACCTAACTTTTCATCGTTTCGCTACTAACAACGAGATCTTCGATTCTCATTTAGATTGTTTCGGCTAAAAACCGCTCAATCTCAAATCGAGTATTCGGGCTGCATATTGCCACGTCGAAACTTCAGAAAATCATAACTTCCTCATACGAAGTCAGATTTGGGCGTTCCTTTTATGCACGCTCTCGGTTTAACGAAATCTACGACTTTCGTTTAGATCGCTAAGGCTAAATATCGCTCTATCTTAAACTCATATTTTACGTCACTCGGCATCGTGTCGGTTCTGTCTTGAAACTTCGACAGGTCATAACTTCTTCGTTATAACTCGGATTTTGGCATTCCTTTTATCTCCGATATCCTTGTTTCAACCACTACAACTTTATGCAAAGATGTCGGGCTTATCTCACACTTTAATTTTGACGCTTATTTTATTCTTAATTCATTAAATTATAAAAATCAAGAAAATACACACATAAATCACATAATTCAAATAATTCACAAATAATACATTATTATTATTTCAAGTTGAGTTACAAGGTTAACCTAGACTATTACATTGCTAAAAATGGCAAGCCCAGAAACACGGGCGTTACAATTCTCTCCACCTTAGAATGATTCCGTCCCCGGAATCACACATCAACAAACAAATGCGGATAGCGACTCCTCATGTCACTGTCCGTCTCCCAGGTGAGATTTGGTCCATTCGTGTGTTTCCATCGGACAAGCACTAACTCCACCATCTTACGTCGCAATTTCTTAGTCTTTCGGTCAATAATTGCCTCCGGTTCGTCAATCAACCTTTTGTTCTCATCGATCATCAACTCCGAAAGTGGAATTATGTCGGGAACTTCTCCCGTGAACTTCCTCAAATAAAACACATGGAAAATGTTATGAATTCCATTCAGTTCTTCTGGTAGTTCGAGCTTGTAAGCTTGGTTCCCAATCCTCTAAAGAACTTTAAACAGTCCAATAAACCTTGGACTTAACTTTCCCCTTTTTCCAAATCTTATAAGTCCCTTCCACGGCGAGACTTTAAGCAAAACCGAATCCCCAACTTCAAAAGTCATCGGTTTTCGCTTTTTGTCAGCATAGCTCTTTTGACGGTCCTGAGCTGCTAACATTCTCTCCCTAATTATTTTCAACTTTTCAGCAGTTTGATGGACTATCTCCGGCCCCATAAACTGCTTTTCCCCAGCCTCAAGCCAACAAGACGGCGTACGACACTTCTGTCCGTACAAAGCTTGATAAGGTGCCATCTTTATGCTCGAGTGAAAACTATTATTATATGAAAATTATACAAAAGGTAAATGTTCATCCCAATTACCTAGGAATTCCAAGGTACACGCTCTCAGCATATCTTCAAGTGTTTGTATTGTCCGTTCGCTCTGACCATTAGTCTGCGGATTTCTATGAGGCTCGTTCCCGCCTTATTCTGGAAGAAACTAGAAAGGCTAATAATGCAGCCCAATCAGCTACAACTGATGCAACAACTCTTAATACTCAAACCTCCTACAACACATGCCCTACCTACCAGGTTCAAGATTCAAACAACAACAACAACAACATCAACAGGGGACGTGGTCGTGCAAGGGGATGTGGTCGTGGTCATGGGAGAAGGGGAGGCGGTAACTTCGGTGTAGGTCGTGGCCAATAGCAACCATAGTGGCCTGCTCCCTACACCCAATAATGGTCAAATTCTCACTCTTTATCTCCTTTCTCCCAACCTTGGGCTGCTCCATATTCGTGGCCTCCTACACACACACCACCTTGTCCCTACCCAACCAACCATCCCCGCTCCACTGCTCCGGGTTTGTTGGGTCCATGACCTTCTACACAGCAGGCATATGCAACATCTGAAAATTCCTATACCCCAACTAACTTGGAACAAGCATGTCATACCATGAGCCTCCACCCACCAGACCAGAACTGTTACATGGATACGGGCGCGACCACATGACAAACAACTCAGGTATTCTCTCCTCTTATGTCAATAAAGGTCTTTTTAGGAATATCATTGTAGGTAATGGCGCGCATCTTCCAATCCAAGGTACCGGTAACCACACCTTACCCCAACCTTTCCCTCCTCTTAAACTCAATCATATTCTTCATGTTCCTCATCTTATTAAAAATTTAGTTTCTGTCCGCAGACTCACAAAAGATAACCAAATTTCTATTTAGTTTGACCCCTATGGTTTTAATGTGAAGGATTTGCGGACACAGATGCCACTCCTTCGATGCAATAGCCACGACGATCTTATCCTCTTACTATCACGCATCCTTCTCAACTCACTCCTCCAACAACTTTTGCAGCCATCACAAGAGATCTTTGGCACTATCGTTTGGGTCACCCCGAGGCTGATGTCCTTAGCTCTTTTAATAAATCATTGTCTTTTCCTTTTAAAAATAAATTGTCATTTTCTGTTTGTGAACCATGCGTTTTGGGTAAACATATCAAATTACCATTTCATTCATCAAGTTCTGTTACTATTTCCCCATTTGATATTATACATAGTGATGTTTGGACCTCCCCGGTACTTTCATCCGGTGGTCATAGTTATTATTTACTTTTCTTGGATGATTACACAAACTTTCTGTGGACTTTTCCCTTATCTCATAAATAACAAGTCTTCCCCACTTTTTGAAAATTTCATACTCTTATACAAACACAATTTAATAAAAATATCAAGTCACTATAATGTGACAACGAAAGGGAGTACGACAACAAACTCTTCCACGAGTTTGCCCCTCAACATGGCATCAACTTCCGTTTCTCTTGTCCGTATACATCATCCCAAAATGGAAAATCAGAAAGAAAGATACGGTCAATAAACAATATAATTCGGACCATTCTATCACACTCCCAAGTCCCTTCCTACTTCTAGCACTACGCTCTTTCCCATGCTACCTATCTGCTCAACATTCTTCCATCCAAAGTGCTTTCTTCCGACACACCCACTCATAAACTTTACCATCATCATCCCTCACACTCTCACCTAAGGGTTTTCGGTTGCCTTTGCTACCCTTTCCTAAGCTCTACAACCATTCATAAACTTCAACCTCGCTCCCATCCTTGTGTCTTCCTCGGTTACCCACCCGACCACCGTGGGTACATGTGGTTCGATACATCTAAACAAAAAATCATTACATCTCGCCATGTCATTTTTGACGAACATTCTTTTCCCTTTAAGCATTCCTCTTCTTTACATCCTAACTACTCTATATTCACCGATGAATCACATCACCCTCTAACGTGGCTTAGTTCTCCCACCGGTACTATTCCAATATTGCCCCCCTACCCAACAACACCACCAGCCCCTTCAAGATTTCCCAAATCTCCCATACAATTCACCTATAGCAGGCGCCCCAAACAACCTGGACATTCAGACACCACAGAAACCACCAACACCACTGAAACCATCCTAAAAACCATCAACACCATAGAAACCACCAACACCACCGAACCCATCATCACCTCCAATATTCCTACCCGTACTATAAAAACCCGTAGCATGTTATGCATCTCCAAACCTAAATGTAACCTTAACCTCCATGCCTCCACTCTTATCACTCCTATTCCCAAAAACCCAACCGAAGCCTTAAACAATTTGGATTGGAAGAACGCCATGCTTGATGAATTCCGGGAACTTATAGATAATAAGGCATGGGATCCTATACCAAGACATCCTCACACGAACATTTTCCGAAGTATGTGGATTTTTCGCCGCAAAATGAAATATGATGGTACATTGTAAAGATATAAGGCACGATTAGTTTGTGATGGGAGGTCTCAACAGGTAGGCGTGGATTTTGGAGAAACATTTAGTCTGGTGGTCAAGCCAGCAACCATCAGAACCGTGCTTACCATTGCTCTTTCTCAATCTTGGCAAATTCACCAATTAGATGTCAAAAACGTGTTTCTTCACGGGCATTTGGATGAAACAGTTTATATGCCTCAACCAATGGGATTTCGCGACACACAATTTCCCGACCATGTATGTCTCTTAAAGAAGTCCTTGTATGGCCTAAAACAAGCCCCGAGAGCGTCGTATCAAAGGTTCGCTGAATACGCATTCCAAATTGGGTTCCAACATAGTCGCTCCGATCATTCACTATTCATCTACTGACATGGAGGTGATACGCCTATCTATTGTTATACGTGGATGATATTCTTCTTGTGACATCCTCCGATTCTCTACGAAATATATTAATGGGTCTCCTTGCCAAGGAGTTTGCAATGAAAGACCTTGGTCCCTTAAGTTTTTTTTTTTTTTGGGTATTGCAGTCACACGCCAATCTGCATGTTCGATGTTCCTTTCACAGTAAAAAATATGATACGAAAATTCTAAAAAGATCAGGCTTTGAAAATTGCAAACCTCTTCCAACACCGGTCGACTCATCAGGAAAAATTAGCACCAAAACCGATGAACTTTTGGAAAATCCGATAGAATTTTGGCAGCTAGCAGGGGCCCTTCAATATCTCACTTTTACACACCCGAACATTAGCTATGCAGTTCAACAAATTTGCATGCACATGCATGCCCCTCGAGTTCCCCATTTCACAGCTTTAAAATGAATACTTCGATACATTTGTGGCACAACAGATCATGGCTTAACTCTTACTGGCTCCAACACTACATCGCTTCTATCCTACGCCGATGTTGATTGGGCGGGCTGTCCCGACACACGACGTTCGACATCTGGATACTGCATCTTTATGGGAAACAATCTCCTTTCTTGGTCCTCCAAACGGCAGACCACTATTTCTAGATCGAGCGTCGAAGGGAATACCGAGGGGTTGCAAACGTTGTCTCGGAATCTTGTTGGCTACGAAATCTTTTATGTGAGTTACATCATCCCCCTCGCAAAGAAACCATTGTCTACTGTGATAACGTGAGTGCTGTTTATTTGTCAACCAATCCGATTCAACATCAACGCACTAAACACATAGAAATCGACATCCATTTCGTTCGAGAAATCAACTTTCAATCAGCTATGTCAATTTTGAATCATCAAGGTTCATACCTTAAACCATTGTAGTTCTCGTTGTATCTGCAAATCTGCCCCGATATAAGATTTAATTTGTTGGATGGTGCCAATCTTGCAGCTAGATGCAACAGGTTAGTCTTTGAGTGTCCGATATATATTCTTATGTTCGCTCATCTGATAAAGTAGGTTGTAAACCTTTTCTGAACGATTTATTGCAGCATACAGAATAAAGTTGTGCCCATCTTCGTTAGTACTCCAAATTGCATTTGGGAACAAATTCACAATTTCTTCTACAACCTCGTATGCATTTTGTCTCGTGGCTTCAAGAATCGGATTCGTATAATAGTGATGGTAAGAGCTGGAGTGATTTGTTTGCTTTATCAAGTCACATACTTCCCTCAACAGGTACATAGCTTGTAAATGAATTCAAAACCTCTCTTTAATGAATGGAAACACTGCAACATAGATCCAAATGAGCATCTCAAATAAAGAAATAGCCCTTTTTTCTCTTTTTTTTGTTTCTAGTAATTCAGTGAGGTACTTGTTGATCATCTTACCTAACTTCATAAGCATTTTTATGAAAAGCATAATGACATCATCAACCACTGCATTATGCGATACAATGTTTGTTAGAATGATGGGGTTAATTTATAATAGAGTGTGCCTCTAGCAACTTTAAAGTTTAAGAAAAGAAAACACATGAGCTACCACAAACGAATGGGAGGATTATCAACATCAAAACCCATGGAGGAAAATTGTCTGCTCTCTCAAGTAACTTATCAGTCCCTTCAATATAATAAGTGGTTTGCAGGAAGTTTAGTAGAGAAGCATTATAATAATTTGACAATGTAAAGGAACATACATATCACTTATGATAGAAAAACAACAAACCTGCATATCTTTCAAATACTTTGACTTTGCGTGGGAAATTTTGAGTTATAGACATCAGCACATCATCACTATGCAATGATTTGTAATGCTCCAACATATCTCTTGCAAGGTCTACATATATTCAAAATTCAGCCTTATCAATTAACTTGTTAGGTTTTTTACTGATGGAATTTGAGTCCAGTTGACACTTACGGAAATCTTTGGAGGAAATAGCAGTAACTAGAAGGCCATCACCAGTTGAGCCAGAAAACAGAGCATCCTTCTCTATATCATCATTAATAGTATTATTGATGTGTTGCAGCAGATGTCGGGTTGTTTCTGTGTGCATATTAGAAAGAGCCAAGGCTAGTTGTGTCAGATCCTTGTTGTCTTTGGCGAACAACAACTCTGGTTTTCTTGCCACCAATATGCCAACAGCTTCTGTGTTGCCAATAATAGCAGCAACACGAAGTAGCGTGCTTCCATCTGAATTTATCACATCCATGAGTTGTGTGTTCTTCAGTATCTTTTCCAACAATTTCTCTAGGAATTCCAGCTTCTTGGAACTATCGAATGCTACATGAAGCGCAGTGTTTCCATTATTCGTGATTTTGTCTATCACTGTAACCCTTAACTCCCTCAATATTTCTTCGACCCACTGCAAACTCCTTGTTGTGTAGAATGGCACAATCTCCGGAGATCCAATGCTCTGTCTTTATCTTCTAGTGTATCTACATTTGCATAATTTTGTTATCAAGAGAAAAACTACACACGAGATACAAAATATGTGCACTTTTATGCATTTTAAAGGATGATGGAAAAAAACCTTGTTAATTTGTATGTACACTTTTATACATTTTGTGTACGTTGTATCTTGTTTAAACAAGTGGTTGGTCGACTAAACTTTACAGCGACTATACAGTAAAAGCTATAGACATATTTTACTGTATTAGTTATGGTATGCTTTACTTTATCTAAATCACCAACCCATGTAAACAAGAGATGGATTGTACCTTCAACAACATGTAGTTTTGGAACAACAGCAGGAGCGAAAATAGTCTGCAGTTCATCCCAAACATCTTTTGCACTGAAATCATCTTCATGGAGTTTTCCTCTGAGACTATTCACAACCTGGGCGAGTGTTTCTTTAGAGAGAAAAACGAGAACCCAACCTTTCACTAGGGCATTTGATCTTCTCCACAGCTTCTGATGAGTCTGATTGTCAACCACTTTCTCCTTCCCGGAAAAACTACTACTACTACTGGCTTCATCAGGGCTTATGAGTGTTCCATCTATGAAACCTGACACACTATGACTCTCTAACAGGCATAGCATCTGTGTTTTCGAAATATCATACTCATCCTTATCATTTAGTTTAAATGTAACAAAATTGGGAGCACAAACATATGATGGGTATGGGTATGGGTATGGGTTTTCTTCTCTAATTTCCAATGTGACATGTGGATTAGACCAAGACTTTGAGTTTGCCATCTTTGTTTTTTTTTAAGTCCTCTTGCTTCCATCTCTTAGTTATTTAAATAGAAACATGGAGTGGATTTGTGGTGCCCACAAAAACCACTTGAGGATTGAATCCTCCCCATGTAATTCCCTCAGATAGTAAAATTTCAAGCAAAGAATATTATAATTGGAAAAGTTATTTACTAAACAGTTTTATTATCTAACTTATTTATCAAAATTTAATACATACAAAAGAAATTAAAAAACAATTGACACCTGTCTTTGCATATGCTTCCCTTCAATCACTAGTCTATTTTCTTAGTCCTTCTTACATTCATAGGCAAAGAGAATGATAACAAGAAGTCTTTATATTGTAAGGAACATATCTTATTTTTTGGTTGACTTGAGTTCTTACAGATATATAAACTGCAAATAAGAGCAGTCCCAACCTATTACCATAAGGGAAAATAACACGTGATACCGTTGGGGTAAAGCCCTTTGGTTATTGTTGATTATTTAAATGGAAAATATTAGACAAGATCAACCCAACATAACTAGTTCATTTTATATATGATAAAATTTAGGTACATCCTTTCATCTACTTAAAAGAAATTACTATTCGAAAATAATATACGCCACTTATTAGTTATATTTTTCAAATATCATTTATTAGCATCTTTGTAAGTAACTGCATGTGCATTTTTTTATGGCATTTCCCTTTCACCATGTTACACACAAGGCTGGGCAATCATCACAACACATACTCATACACCAAACTATATATAAGAACTTTTTCAGTATTAATCTATGGCAATACATTGATAGGAATCAGTCCTCTTTTAAAGAAAAAAAATTTATAAATCAAATTGTACATAAGAACAGTTTCATAACAAACTTTTGGGATAAAACGGTAGTGCCAATATAACTTTTGGGTTAGTGATTTTAAGTTTTAAAATAGGAGAGAAGCATTAATTTCTTGTAATTAGACTTATCACCCTCCCTTCATGGACACTAGTTCTTATGTTGTTTTATATTTAAAAATAATCTTTAATTGTACATGGAGTACCATTAAAGTTTGGTTTATACCAACTTCATATCTTTTTTTTTTCATTATTAGGTGTTCCAATAGTGTCTTCATTGCAAACTACTAGCCTGGTGTTGATACAACATCAATACTTGCGTGCTAGTATAAATACTAACTCTTAACCTTTTTTTGTTTTGGTGAATATTCCGATCCTACCATCTTCTTACACATATTAAAAAGAAAGATGTAGCTGATTTGTGGTGCCCACAAAATCCACTTAAAGATTGCATCCTGCCCAAGTTAACCCCAGATTGTTCTAAAAGAAGTAATTCCCACACATAATAAAAGTTTCAAGCAAAGAATATTTAATTACAAAATTTACATACCAATGATTTTACTATGAAATGCAGAAATGTGTTTATTAGATTGCATATAAGTACCCGGAGCCTCATTTCATTATTACCAAATAAAATAAAATAACAAGTGAATCCATCTTTGTATATGTGTTATCTATATGTAGATCAAGCTCTCACCACTTAGAAATTTCAAATAAAATCCAATATTGGTTTGTTGACACAGGTCAAAAAGAATTAAATCTTAATTTGGTTGACTGAAATTTTAATTTGTTGTGGAGTTGTGAATGCATATTTAATCATATATGCAGTAGGAATATGCTTCTAGAAGATTAAGACATGCATCAATGAAAAGTATTTAACTCTATTATATTATTTTCTGTCCTAGAAAAAGAGACATAATTTTTCCTATTTTATCCATCCAAATTTCCGATAACAAGCCCCAACAGCTGTTTTTTGAATTTTAGACAAACTTTAAACAATAATTAAGAAATAACAATGTATTCTTAAAACAATAAGCAAGAAATAGGTACACATTTTTAAACATCCAAGTAGCCGGTTTTTCTTGCTTAATGTGTGACAACCCGAAAAAATTTCCATCACGATAACCCGTTCCTGTCAGCGAAACCCGTCTATCTTTCAAATTTTTCGCTAACACTTCGGGTTAGGTCATTTAATTTGAGACTTTTATAATGACCTCGTGAGTGTCCAAACCCATTAGAAACATATGAAAACACCCCAAATTTATTATTTGGAAAAAATGTTAGTTTTATTCCGTCGGGTTATAAACAATTAAATCGGGTACGACCAAAAGCCCCATCTAACGTTAGTATCGGGTAGAATTCCACTGTGTCTCAAACTTAAACCATATTTAAGGTTAAGTGGGCTACATTTGAAGGTTTTCCACTCTCTCTCTACTCTCGCACTAGAAAGCCAAGTTTGATCCAAAAATCATCCAAACCAAGCTCCAAACCGGTAAGATAACTATCCTAGCTCATAGATGAACATATTTAGCCTTCAAATTCGTGTTTAGATCATGAAATAGGACCAAGAACTTGTGTTTATGGTCTAGGAACCTCCCCAAACCGTGAACACCTATAAATGGGTTTTTGGAGCCCCAAAACCCTTCCAAATCACTTCTAGTGCTTAGATAAGCCTAAAGGACTTGCATGTACGAGATTTGAACACCAAAATCTTACCATTTGGGGAGTAAAATTGAGTTTACAGTCCAAGAACATGCTTGGATCGTAAACCCTCATTCATGGACCATAAACACCATTTAAGGTGTTAGTTTGCCCCTACACACGTCCAAAAAGCTTCCATGAGCGTTTAGAAACTTATAATCCTTCAAGAGATGCACCAAAACATACACAAATGGGTCAAACTTGAGTTTACGGTCCAAAAACATTCTTGGAACCTAAATTCCCCTTCTTAGACCATAAACACCTCCAAAGGGTGTTAAAGTGCCCTTAACACCTTGTATAGCTTAGATTTGGACCTAGAACTTTGCATGCTTAACCTTCAATCACCAAAACACATGATTCATAGACAAACATGAGTTTACTACCGTAAACTCATGTGTTTAAGGTAGTAAACTCACCAAGAACATCTTCATAAACCGTAAACTCCTTTCCAAGGTCAATTTAAGTCCCAATCACGTCCTAAGCATTGGAATCAAACCTAGAACCTTCCTTTGTGCATTGTAATTAACCTAGGACCATCAAAACACATTAAGAATTGGTACATAAGAGTTTATGGCCGTAAACTCCTAGTTTACTGCCGTAAACTCCTCAAATGGTCCTTAGGATGTCCAAATTGCCTTCCAATGCCTTAAAACCAAGCCTAGCATTACCCCACAAGAGTTGTAAGACCATTAGGCACCCAAGAACACCCCACCATGAGTTTACGGCCATAAAATCATGGGGAGATGGCCATTAGGGCCGTAAACTCCCTTAGTAGTTTACTCTCGAAGAGTAAACTCCATATCCAAGCCATACACACCCTTAGATGCTACCCGGGTCACTCCAAACACTTGGAATGAAGTGTCTTCGCATCTCGGGGTGTATATTCTCAATTAATTAGTAGTACAAAGCCTAATTAGATACAAATGTGTATCTTTTCATATTACATAGGAACCTCACACGCATTCAAGCCCCGAACTGACGTTTAGCAACCAAACTGATACATTCCTCGATTGGTGAGTTCATACCCCTACTCTTTTCCGTGTTTTTAAAATGTTTTCAGGGGGGGGGGGGGAATACAAGCAAAAAGTAAAAGGAAATATTGTACTCAAACCTTTTATTTCAGTTCAAATGTTTATATATGTATGCTTTTAATATCGAAAACCGTATTAACCAATAGTTTGAATTGCAGAGTTAGATTTCATACTAATTGTAGATTTCTTTATAAAATGTTATAATCTATGTTTCGTTTTATAATCTTACTAAAGATTCATACTAATCATAAATTAGAATTAATACTAATAAGATACGCCTCCGGAAAGTAACAGAATGACAAAAGTAATAAAAAGAATACAAAAGTAACAAAACGAATATGAAAGTACGCCTTCGGATGACACCAAGACTTCGGAAATCCAGCTAGTGTACGCCTTGAGTGTCACCAAAGTTTCGGAAATAATTCGAAAGTACGCCTTTAGATATCGACAGAGTTTCGAAAATATAAGCCTTTGGATGTTGAAAGAGCTTCGGAAATACGACTAAAGTACATCTTTGGAAGTCACCAGAACATTGAATATACAACTAATGTACGTCTCTGAGTGTCTCCAAACATTCGAAAATATAGCTAAGTAAAGTAGATAATCGACATTCGAGTGTAGGATAACCGGGATATCAGAATACCTAACTAATACGACAAATATGATAGATACTAGTACATAGCATTCCGAACCAAGAACTAACCACGACTTTTAGGAAGATAAGGGTTTTTCTTGGGATAACGAATTGTTCCTAACAAAACTGTAGAATAAACGAATAACTAATTCACATATAGGAAAATAAGGTTTTTTCCTGGGATAACAAAATGTTCCTAACGAAACTGTAGAATAAACGAACAACTAATTCACATATAGGAAAATAAGGGTTTTTCCTGAGATAACGAACTATTCTTAATCAAACTGTAGAATAAACGAATAACTAACTCACATATAAGAAAATATGGGATTTTATTGGATAACAACATTTTCAGAAAAACCAAAGGAAACCTGTTCTTTTACAAAAATATACCGCTTATGAACTCACCAACTTTATGCTTATTTTCAAACTGCTTGTATTCTCAGGTCCGCATTAGACACGTACACAATGATCTTTTGGAGAAGACGGAACGTATAGAAGACTCGTCTTAACTTTTGTTCATATGATATATATGTATAACTTTTGTACCACTTTGCTTTCAATTAAATGTAATTATTCATATGTAATGTAATGTTTTGTGTTTACTATGCTTACTATGTACATTGGTTGCGATACTATATGACGTCCTCCGTCGCGGAACGTTTCCGCCATCAGTTTCGGGGTGTCACATATTGGTATCAGAGCCTTTGTTTATAGTGAACTAGTATACCAAACCTTACATGGTATAAGACTATAAACACTAAGGGGCCGAAATGATCTGAACTAAAAGTATACTTTAAAATATAA